TTTCATAAAGTTCAAGTTTTGTATTGTGTGTATTCCTCATTGTTAAACTTGAGTCGTACAACCATTAGAAAATAATTGAAGTTATCAATATGGTGCTCAATTTTATATTGAGAGAGGAGGTTACTGCCATCAAATAAGCCCTGTACTGTACATCTCTGCCATTTATTAACAATGGAAAGTTGAAAGTTCTAAAATGTTGTCTCTCTGTCTCTCTCACTCTCTCTCAGTTTGGAAAGGAACTGTTTGTGAGGCTAGTTTTAGGGGTGGAGAGCACTATCTTGGATTCCGTCATCTCTATATATAAGCAGTAAACTTTATCGGGAATGTAACTATCTGCGGTTTAAATACGACTTTTTATTATGAATACAGGCAGATAGTACTCCTAGCCCAGGAGGAGCATACACTTTTTTCCAGTTGTTACTGAGGAATTGAGTGATTAATACTCTGTATCTTTATTAAGAAGCATCAATTTGAGGACCTTTTGCAATGATTGCAGAATACTACTTAGACTTGTACTTTGATAAGAGAGTACATTTTTTGCCACTGACACTGAGGAGATGAATAATTGGCACTTTTAAGAGATCTATTACAAACATGAATTTTAGGGAAAACGGCTTGATGATCAATACATGCATGCTATGGTTTTGAAGCAGGGGACAACGGATTCTCAGCTGTTATATTAACTTTTCGATATACACGTGTTCACCAAATGTTATTGTCCTGCAGATCAATGTTGCAGATGAGAGCACACAGACATAATTGCATGGATACCTGCATGGCCATTAGCAAAGCATATCAGATGATTGCTATTGATGGTTTATGAGATCTTATTGAAATGTTCGACACAATTTCTGGGGATTCCTTGTGCATACCATTATGCACTCGTCTCTTTGCAGGTACTCATAAAGAAGCATGCCTCTTGTATATAAATGCATTTATACGTGAGTTGCTATTTGCCATGCATCTTGTCCTTTGAGATCTTTTTGCAATTGGAATTTTGACTTGAATGGTTACCTGTCCATTGATGATTTTTGCTTGCATGGTTGCTGGTATTCATGTTTCAAGACTCTTAGAAAAATGGTAACTCTTACAGGAACTTGGAGGCAGATGAGTGCTTTTCGGTACTGGATCAAGTGAGCTGGCATGTAGATTTTGATTGATACTTTAGCATGTAGTTGTCAATGCTTGTAACTTTGTATACTACTCGTACGGTATAAGAAGAGAAGCAGAAACTTGAGTGGGTTGAGGAATGAATCATATCGATCTAGCTTTTGGTGCATCAAGGAAACAGAGGTAGTATTCACAATTGGAGCTGAATGCTGGTTGAGGTTGTAATTGATGCCTGAAGCCATGCTTTCACTAATTACCTAAATACACACCAAGTATGGAGATTTGATCGAGCGGAATCATGCTTCAAATAGTTTATCCATGGATGCAGCTTATCAAATTGGGCAAGCCTGGAAAACTGTGGTCCCAGATGGTAGCTTATGCGTAGCTGTACCACTTGTGATTGGTAACAGCTGAAATCCAGAAGAACAAATCATCCACATGTACTCAGTCATCAGTAGTTACTGAAAAAAGAAATGTACAACAACATTGTCCTATGGTGTTTGGAACCAGATAGGCTGCACAGGTACTTAAACATATTCTGGAGCTTTAAATTGTTTTGCTTTCCTAAAAATGTAATAACTCGAACAATGGTAGACTAGACACAGCTTTGATGACCTTAAAAGAACAGAAGCCATCTTGCTTTATTGGCTTGAATATGCAGTTGACTGGATGAAGTTGTCGAGAAAATATTCTTATTGCATGACTCATTTGTAGAGAACAACCATCTTTGTCCTTGTTCTGGCATCAAACTAAACACAATTCTTTTTGCATACCTGAGTTTGGTAATATTCCTTAAGATTTTTCTTACTTTCTCCCATCAGTATGATGTTTTTCTTGCTTTTCCTTGTCAGTGTTCTTCGGTTTGTTCACAGCAAATGTAATCCCTATAGCAAGGGCAAGCTCTGAATTGACATGGAAAGAATCAAGCCTAATTACCTCTTTCACATTGACAACTGACTTAACGTAATAATACACATAGTTCAATTAGAAAGAAAGATAAGTTTTGGTCAATTAATTGATAAAACAATTAATAAAATTGGAGTGATTCGCATCAAAATGCAAATGAAAGTCAGTTAAATTTTGCAATTGAAATAACCAGGGGACAAACTGAAATGGGAAGATAGTTTAGGGGAATTTACCTTCTTTTAAAGCCGAACTTCAATGGTTTTACCAAGCTCAACGAAAATTTTGGTCCCTCTTCAGATTGCTATATGTTTCCGCGTGCTTGTAATATCTGTAGTTACTATTTTTTTTGGTACGAAAAGTTTGAATGAGAGAAAAAGATGGAATGAGTTCGACTTCAGTCCTCAGGGTATGTTTTCGAGATTATAAGTTGCTCGCAGGGATTTTAGTGTCTACTAAAACAATCTTCACATAAACAGCGAAATTCGAAAACACGACCTTTATATATATATAAAGTAGTATGTTCTTATTAATTGCACCAACTTATGTTGGCACCTCTTTAATTACTTTGACCCGAAAAAAAAAATTTCCATATATGGTGATCATCTATGGGAATTTGAAATTTTGATATTTGTTCTAAAATACAACAAAATTTTGCCTTCAAGAATTTAAATGATTCACATTGGGAAAGGACTAGTGGGAAGACTAAATGGCAATCTAAACAGAATTGACAAGGACAATTTTACTTGACCTCTTTTTGCAAATGATAATCTAACAGTATCACTTATATAGTTGTTATTCATGTACTCATCATTCAACTAACCATCAAAAGAAACAAATTTGGTGATTTAATTTAGGCCGTATTGCGCGGAATTGAATTTCGACAAATTCCATTGAAATTTCTGAATCATTCCAAAACATTAGGGGTTATTTTCCAGGAAAATGATAGAGCATTGAGAATTGTAGGACTCAGGATTGAAGCTTGAAATTGGGACCATTTGTCTTTGAAAAATTCAACTTCCCTAGTTGCATGGAAGACATGTTTAGCGTTTACTTAGAAGACCTTAACCACCTATATAACCATGGCCAATAGGCTTGCTAATTGCAAAAAAAAAAAAAAAAAAAAGGTCCTTCAAGACCAAATTATCTCTCATGTACTTTACATCAAAAAAGTGTTACAATATTTTTTAAAAAAAAATTATTCCAAATAATCTTCTATCCAAACACACACAAAGTCCAGGAAAATTACACTCAGAGCCCTTCAATTTCGACAAATTTTACAACTTGCTGTAATAGTTATAGTAATAAGTTATCTACAGTTACAAAATACACAGTGTAATTCTATTATCATAAGCAAGTCCAAGAAGGGAGATTGAGGGTATCGGCTTGAAAGCAAGTAGAGCAGTTTGCTTTACCCTTTAATAACTCACATTCTACTCTTTTTTTTTTTTTTGGTCTATTGTCATCATTTACACCTACTCTAATCTATACTAGGGGTGATCCAACAGGGCCACGGGAACCGACGAAACTGAACCACCATAGAACCATACTGGTACATTAACCACCTATATGGATCTAAGAGAAACTATATTAAATGACAACTTTTAATGGGAGGCGAGATTTGAATCCTCCTATCCTGCAAAACGTGTGGTGGCCAACTATTTTAGTGATTCTTCAAAATTCAATTGTTACATAGAAATTATATCACTTGCCATTTGTCAAAGCATTTCAAGCCTTACGAAGTATGGTTTAAATGTTTCTTTAGACCACTTTTTTTTTTTTTTTGAATGGTTCAAAAGAAGTTCAAACCACAAACTTTAGAAATTTTATATTTTTCATTAAAAATGGGGCGCACAATTTCAAAATGGTAAAATCATTTCAATTTCAACATTAATCTTTTAGGATGCAGGCCTTTTTTTATTTTTATTTTTTTGCTATAAAAATTCCAACTAGGGTGGAATCCGTAAAAATAAACAAGGTAATTTTGATTTTGGTTTTGCCAAGAATAATGGAGATTGTTCAAATAATGGTGCAAAGCATCTAGCTACTTTTTGGGATCTGCATACATATTGATAGAATTCCATCCCTTGTTAATCTTGAGTTAATTGCGCTTACTTCCTTTGAGGTTAGGCGAACTTATGAATCAGATCCCAAGGTTCTGGACAAATAACAAAACATTCTCTCAAACTTTACAAAACTATTAAACAAAGAAGTGTTGTTAACATTTTGATACCCGTTAAATACTTGAAACCTACTCCCTCCTACTCGTTGAAGTTGTTGTACTTTTCTTTTTTGTCTATTCCAAAATAATTGTCACATATCCAAAATAGAAAACTTGTTTACATCCAATTTCAATATTTACCCTCTCAAAATATGGGTCCTACAACTTTAACTCAAAAGTCAAAGTAAAAAGGAAGCACCGCAATTTGATGTGTGAAAAACACCCCCAAATGTGTGTTAAGCGTTGTTGATACATGATCTTTGTCATGCAATTTTGAGTTAAACAAAATAGATAGACCCTACAGCAATATATTCCCGACATAACTTTCTTTGTATGCATTACACATTAGAGAGCAAAAGTGGAAAGTGAAATAAAATTTGCAAGATTCAATGCACTGTTGATAAAAATTACAACTTCCCAAGTGCAACAAACTTATCGGGAAAGAGGGAGTATTTAACAAGCACCCATAAGCATCATTTCTAATGTTCAGTAAAGGGGTATTTGATGAACATTTTGCCATTGTAAGGGGTTTATTGCAATTTGATCAAATTATGGGGTAAATTTTGTTATTTGTTCAAATATCGAGTAAGGTAAATGTAATAAACCTGTACTTCCTAAAGTCGATGAATTCACAATTCCCAATTGTGTAAGAAAGTTCTTTTAATTTTCAGGAAATTTTGGCTTTTGATATAATTGTGATTATTTAGATTTTATTTCTTTCTAGAATAAATAAAAAAAAAAGGCAAAACAAGCAAATCATGAAAAAACAGAAAACGGGAGCAAAGCCGAGGAGCAAAAGGAGGTGGAGAAGTTGTCATCCTCACCGTCGCTGCAACTGCCGATCACTTCCCAATTGATGTTTTTAAGGTCCTTGCTATCTCATTTCTGCTTCTAATCTCCAAGTTCATGCAACCTGTTTGGATGTTTTGAGCATTTTTCTTTCTTTTTTTGTTTTCTTTGCGTTGTTATTGAATTCCTTGGTAATTTGTTTGCAATTTTGTGATTGTATGCTCTTTTAATGTGATATAAATGCTGTGACATTTCGTTTGGATTCCTAATTTGGGCCGTTCTCCTCGTGGATTTTAGCAGATTTTCTTGAACCTTTTATGCTTGAGGCATGCTTGATGAAAAGCCTAGACTAAAAGAAAAATTTGATTACTGGTTTTGTTGAGAGTCGGAGATTGGAACGTGTGGTATTTTGTAGTTTGTGACAAAGGGAGAACAAATTAGGCTCCAACGGGCATTTCAAAATGAGGTTTAGAGATCTTAGTGTTGGTTTTTGCTGATTTGTCTCTCTTTTTTTTTATAATTTTTTTCCTGTTGTTGCGAGTTTTAGTGGATGTACTGTGTATGAGTGTGTAAGAGGTAGGAGGTGGTGTTCCAACACTGCCGCAAGCCAGCCTGACTGCTGGAGAAGAAGAGGAAGAAGAAAACATTTTTGAAGATGCAACCAAGTCCCGCAATTTTCCCTAGCTTTATATGTTCACCCCCAGCCTTTTGAAACCGGTAGCTTTATATTAGAAGTTTTCAATTATGCCCTACTACTAGAGAGTCAATTATTAGTACAAACAGTCTTCAATTTGTCAGATTAGGCTTTAATTTTATGTTATCATTCATGTGACCTATGTGAGATATGGGGCATTCTATTATTTTTGTTTCTTTTTTTCCTTTCGTTTTTTAAATTGAGTATGACCAAGTGTCCAGAGCTCGCTATTACATAGCTTTTTCCAACAAAAGTTTGGAATGTGGGACTTTGCTTTAATTTTATTTTCTTCTCATGCATGTTCACTTGTGGGATTTTCTTTAATGCTACTTTTTGAAGTTAAGTTTACTTGTGTTTGACTTCAAAACTAGAAGACAATTAAACTAGCAATTGGTTTGCATTGGGTGTATGTAGGTGCTCAAGGCTGACATCTTCGTCACAATTAAGCTCCTAAACTCATTTCTCTTGTTTGCTGGATTCGTCCATGTAAATGGTGTGTGTGTGTATATATATATATTTGCTTCAAAAGTCTAAAATTGCTTTTTTGAATATTGTTTAGGTAAATGTGACAACCCAAATAGCTTTTTTGAATATTGTTTAGGTAAGTGTGTGTATATATATATTTGCTTCAAAAGTCTAAAATTGCTTAGGTAAATGTGACAACCCAATACCTTGTAATGACTACTGATATCGGAAAACCTTTCCTAGACTATTGGTGTATTCGGCTGGATTTGCCAAGTCCCTTCCTAGGCTCTTTTACCCTTTCCCCTTTAGTGATATTTTATTCTATTAATGAAATAAAAAATTCAAATACCATCTTAAAATGTTCTTTAATTTTTATTATTTGGTATTATTTTTATTATAATTTATTTACTAATTTTACATTTATTATTTATTTTTATTATTTTTTACCTAATGTTGGGCAAATTCAATTTTGGGGGAGTGGGAAATTATAAAATCTTATAAATCAAATCATTTGTGGATCGAGAGACATTTTGTGTCATTACTTGGTCTAATATAAGTACTGACTTTAGTGCAGACTTCAAAACTTTTAAACCAGTTAGACCTATAGTATTATTTTAAGGAAAATCGTATACCAAGTGACATTCGACTTGAGAGATAGAAACAAATTAATGGATAACCCACATTCTTGATTTTATGGATTCCCATATTTGTGTCTATCAGTTAGAAATATTGTAATTTAGAGTTGCTTTTTGTAGGTGGACTCTTATTTTAATTGCAGTCTTGGGGTGAATGAGGGGAAGGTGGGGGGATGGGTTTGGGTACCAATTGATGGTTCCATCACTTCTCAACAACCATTTAGAAACTGGATTGGTGCCAAATTAAAGTGAATCCTTTCAATAAGGCTGCTGAATTGATTTTTAAAATTTTTTTTTTTTTGGATTTTAGGGCCTGAATTTAAGTTTCAAGCTACTTGGGAGAGCTAGAATGAAATTAATCCTACCTCTCTCTCTCCCAATGCACATCCTAATGCAGAGAGCTGTGGAGAATGTAGGAACAAAAGAGATGGTGAAGTCTTTGATTGGTGGTACCCGTCGATTCTCTATTTCTTCACTTCTCAAACCATGCTCTCCAATTCTCTTCATTTTAGGTACCCAAAAAAACAAAAGAAAAATCTATGTAATTCTTTGGTTTTCTTTACTGCTCAATATTTGTGTTTGTGTAAAAGAAAAAAAAAGTTATATATGCATAGATTAAAAACAATCTAGTAGGAAAAAATCATGATTTTAAATCCTTTAAGAAATTTTTTAGCTGGATTTGTTAATTCCTAATTAAGTTTAATCTTTCTGTAGCCTGTGAGGAGCAAATAATAAGGGTTAAGGAGTTTGGGATTATTATGAGCAATAATTTGAGAAATTGAAGAAAAATGAGCTCTTTTTGATAAAAAATTTCAGTAAAGATTTGTTTGCTTAGCTTTCTACTTTTAGATGAGGTTTACTGGGTCATCATAGTTTTTCTGGTTACTTATAGCCAATTCTTCAGAACCTGTGCCAACCCTTTTCAGTGATCTTTAGGCCTTCAATGCAATTGACTTCAAGAAGTTCATGGTTGGCACTGAGGAATTTTAGCCATGGCAGAGTGAATTTAGTGATATCTCCACAGGGAAAGCCAAAATTCGAGACTCATGAAATTGAGCTGCCTAAAAGAGACAAGTGGATGACAAAGAAGACGTTGAAGATGCAAAGGAAAAAAGAAAAGCAAAAGAGAAAGGCTGCCAATAAAAGAGACCCCAGAAGACTTGGTGTCAAAGGGAAGAAGAAAAAGCAGAGGTTTGCTAATGCTGAGGAAAGGATTAAATACAAGCTTGAAAGGGTAAGTTGACAAACAACTATCTCTCTCAATAACTGCCTGTTTCTGAATAAGATAATTCAGATATGTATTCTCTTTTGAAGTTTCTAGTATTCATCTTCATATGTATGGACTCAATTAATAGATTACCAATTGTGTGCCTGACACAAACTCTGTGCCTGGAATGATCATAGTGGATAGTTTTGGCTAAGCAGTTCATAGTTCACTGGTTAAAAATGGGCACATCGCAGTGCATCTTTGTGGTGCTACTCAATTTGTTAGCGCTTATTTCGATGTCAATTAATTCTTGTTTGTGTTTTTTTTATCTATCTGATCAACTAATGGTGGTCAGAGTTCTCCTTAAGGTTGTCCTTTAATTCCTGGGCATTGATTATTTCTATTTTCCCTGTTTTTCGTTCTAGAGTTATTCTCAAAGAGAAAGAATCGGCTATTGGTTCTATATGTATGCCTCAGATTGGCTTAGTTTGGTTAGTTAACTGATGGGGCTGATTTTTCTTTTCCTCAGGCTAAAATTAAGGAAGCCTTGCTAATTGAAAGACTAAAGCGGTACGAGGTCAACAAGGTCCAGGGTCCTGTTGTTAAGCCACATGAGCTGACTGGCGAAGAGCGATTTTACATGAAGAAAATGGCCCAGAAAAGGTCGAATTATGTACCTATTGGTAGGAGAGGAGTATTTGGTGGTGTCATTCTTAATATGCATTTGCATTGGAAGAAGCATGAAACTGTCAAGGTCATTTGCAAACCTTGCAAACCTGGTCAAGTGCAAGATTGTGCTAGTGAAATTGCCAGGCTTAGTGATGGAATTCCAATTCAAATAATCGGTGATGATACAATAGTTTTTTATCGCGGAAAGGATTATGTGCAACCAGAAGTTATGTCGCCCATCGATACATTGTCCAAGAAGAGGGTAAGTTTCTTGTATGATTTACTTTGCTTTTAAATATATACTTCTTTGGGTACTACATAAGTCTCTGGCTACCTGTAGGAGATTCTCAGTTATCTTTGATTGCTTTGTGGATTGGTTTTCCTACATACCTTTTCTTCTGCATTTTTTAATCCTATTAGTGTCTGAGTTGATTTAGACTCATTCATTGGCTTGAATAACTTATGCAACTTCTGATCATTTTTCAGTTACTTTTCCTTCTTCAAGACTCCTGGGTCTGTTTCTGATGAGATGGTACACTTCATTTTTGTTTCTTTGAAGCTGAAGAATTGACATTGGACATGGGACATGAAGACAATCTACAATGACAAACATGTTACTTGAAATAACATAACCAGACATGTATAGTACATTTGGATTATTTGGTTATTCCTCTGTCATACAGGCCATCCTTTATCACTGAAGTTTCTACTGAACTTTGGTTACAAGCGTGTGTTGTTGCATGTATGATCATATGGGTGCAAAGTGGATAGAATCTAAGTAATATTGGTATGTCAAATTGCTAGCTTTTGAAACGTAGTACTAGGGATATGTGTAATAGAAATTCGCAAGATTTTTAGAACTTTTTGGAACATACTGGTATGACCTTTCTTGTCCATAGGAGTTGGTTGACCAAAAGATTTTTTTTTTCTTGGGAATAACTATGCACTCTGCTGGAGTTTTTGCAAGCATAGTTTGAGCATTATATTTCTCTCCTGTGTTCTTGGCAATATATCTATTATTATGAAAATGTTGGATGTCTGAAAAATGTTGCAAATAAATGTGGATTGTTTGCCCTAAATATATTCATCCAGGACCATGATGAGTGCCTGGGTGTTATTAAAAAGATCGAAGGATTATTTGCCTTTACAGCCAGTTTGATGGCTCTACATGAATATTTGATCTTCGAGTTGTGAATTTTCTTTATCAATTCAGTTGTTCTTGTGATCCAACAATAAGATTGTTTTGTGTGCAATCCTGAATATTGATTGTGGCTTTGTTTATTTGGGTTCTATTTTAGACGCTAGTGGTCCTGTTTGCATTTGGAAATAGCTCGCAATTGATTCAAGGATTCCAACCATGTCAGTTAATTTGACTTTTGACATCAGTGCCTTTATGCTTCCGTTTCGATTGATAAAGGCTGAATTTGGTGACTTTATATAGGGCTGTTGGTGGTTTTTATATGATTGTAGCAAGTCCTAGCTTAAGGCCTGATGCTGAATTTCAGGAGCACGGCATTGTTGTTTTAGAAAAGTCCTCAACTCTAAGCCATGATACTCGCTTGTGTAGGAATTATATGGTTCTTTGGGTGCTAAAACAGAGATTGGTAGAAAATAATAAAGAAACAAAATTGAAAAAGGGGAGGGAAACAAGGCTGTGTTTACGTTCAACTTGGTTACTACAGGAATTTATAGTTCTTTCCTTGTCATGGTTATCATGGATAAGTACTTGTTTTGTCTATTGAAAGGAGCATATATGGAGTTCTGAACAAGAGTTCCATGCTTCTGTTAGGTACCAAATTCACTATACATTAAGGGATGTCTGACATGACATGTGAGAATGTGCAGTTAGCTTTTACTGTAATTTTGTAACTGCGATATCACTATAGGTAGTGGCAGTGCTCTATGAATGTCTTCATCAGAAATGCAAATGTCACGTTTGTAGTAGCACTCAAGCTGATAATTATACTTGGACTTGTCGTAATAAATTTCAAGTTTGCTTCTTGTTTGAAGTCGATGACAGATTGTTATAAAATCTAGTGTTTTGAAAGCTGCCTCTTTATTGGATTACTCTATGGAAGAGGTCCTCTTTCATTTATATCAAAAGGTTTATTTGGATTCCAGCTGTGTCTAAAATGAAAGAAGAAAAGGAGGGAGAAATAAAATTCTGGACGATGAATTGGCTTGAAGGTGAAGCCATAATTTTGAAAATGACTGCATTCTGGCACTTTTTTTTTTTTTTTTTAAAAAGTAATTTAATATTTAGCTTTCTGCTTTCTTATTCTGTTGTTGGGATTCTTCATAATAATTTTTAACAATTATTCATAATAATTGTCCGCAAGGTTGTCATATGAAGGTTTCAATTTTATAAACCTCACCATTAACATTACCTTATTCGAGAATATTGTGGAATCTTCTTGGCAAAAAAATTTTTACACTCGTGTGACTTTTGCTTGAGCTATGTAAATGCTCCGTAGATTGGCTGTTTTGTTGGAATCATTCGTCTCCTTTATGATTGGGTATCCTGTGGACATCAGTTTAATGAGCGGTCATCTCTTAGGCAATCAAAGAAAAAGGGGTCTTACTTAGCATACATTTGTCTGGTTTTTGATGTGCTCTTTTTCCTTCTCTTTTCCATTGTAGATTACAATTTTTTTAACCTTTTCAGTGATTTTTTCTTCTTCTTTCAGGCATTAGAAAAATCCAAGTACGAGCAGTCACTTGAGTCTGTTAGACGGTTTATTGCTATTGCTGAGAAGGAGCTTGAATTATACTATAGACATGTGGCACTTTACGGTGACCCAAATGACCGGAATCCGAACTCAATCTTTGATAAACCAAGATGGATGGAATGGGCTAGGAAGGTTGAGGTAAAAGAAGATGCATCTTCAATAACTGAAGAATGTTCGCATACTTTCTTTCAAACAGAAATTGATTCGATGGATGATGAAAACTTAGAATCTGAAGAAATCTCAGAATTTGATGATAAATGCAAGAATAATACTGCATCTGCAATTGAAATAGATTATGGGGATGATGGAACTCATATTGGGGAAATAGAGTCATGTGATGAAGAAACAGGTAGTGTCTCTTATACTAGAATACTAGGTTCAGGATCTGTACATCGAAGTAAATGGAATGCTGAATGAGAATTTGTTTTGAGCAAGATTTTATTTCGCAATATTCATTTTAATTTGTTTACACCCACATATTGATCTGTTTGTTTTATTTTCTTTCAGGAGCTTGCTTTCCTTAATCTTACATATACTGCATTTTATCTTGTTATAGCTGTTTGAAGCAGCAAACACTTAAGTTTTGGTCTCCCTGTTGGCAAAATTTAAAATACTTGTTTGTCTTAATGTCTATTTTGGAAAAGAAGATCTGATGCATGATTGGCCAAATATTTGCTTTACATGTGAACTTAGAGGATAAAAAGAATGCTCTTGCATCTTTAGCTGGAGCATATTTCTGGTTTTTAAAAAAGCAAGAGTATTATGGTAAAATTTTGTTCATTTTGCTTGTCTGTTTGCAAGAAATGCATGCTAAACTGAAGCTATTTGTTATAGATGTTTTTATATCTCCAAATTGCAAGACAATAGATAAGCTATGATCAGATCAGTAGGACATTGAGTTTGTCAGCCAAATCTAGTAAAACGAACTGTGTTATGGTTACAACTTCAAGGAGCAATGCAGTTCAAGATTAACGAATGAAGAAACTCAAAAAACCAAACAAGTGTGTTTCGAAATATGTCCTGACTATTTGATACCTGTGAAAAGTTTAGATAGAAAATTGAAGTTGTTGGTGGTCATTAATTTCATGAATAGCCAGAGAATGATGCTCAGCCACTCTTAATGACTGGTAGAAAAGCAAATTCTACATCTTAGATAAGTTTAATGTATTTCTAAAGAACCGATAAATGAGCCATAGCTATTACTCCATGGACTTTGATAATAGCATGTGTTCATTAACTTTGATGAAAGGTACATATGACATTTTTGTAGAATTGCACTACGTGGACTTTTACTTCATAGCTATTCAAGTTTTGGTGACACATGTTTTCTGCACAAGCTAATAGTTCATAAGAGCTATATAGGTCTATTTAGCTCATAGCATGACAATTTCTTGTGGCATACAGTTTGTGCATTATAGTGTGCAGCAATGAAGTAACATGTTGTTTTGTAGTTATTTAGCTTTTATATCTAAACTCATACTTGGTATTGATTTTCTTGGAAAAGAAGCTGTATATGCAATCTACTAGATGCATCCATTTTTCTGGTGCCATTTCTATAACCAATTTAATTGGGCATTAGATGAAAAAAGATGGTTTGGGTGCTAATGAAGTGAAAATTTCAGTCATCTTTATTGAGTGGAGATAATTTGAACAGAAGAGCTGTAGGCATGTTGTTCTGTACACCATTTTCATTTTCATTTGTTTGGCATGTTGTTGTGAAGCAGTGGATGAAAATGGTGTACTTTTACAGAAGCTAAATTCAGGGTAAATGCTGGCAATGACGAAAAGAAGCATAGAAAAACTTGAGTTGGTAAGCCATTGTTTCAGTGTTGGAGATTTAATAAGCGACGGTGAATGAGTTTTTGTTCAACTAAGCCAAATCTGGAGACTAAATTAAAACAATTAATTTGATGTGCAAAGAGTAAAATTGCACTGTGAAAGTTATAGGATTAATCTTTCTTGCATTGACAGTGTATACACTATTAGCGTTTGATGAATGATAACTATGCAAAATTTAAATTTGAAATTCAACTTTTACACACATGTCATGAATCAAACGGTGATAGTGCATACACTGTCAGTGTATATAAGATTTACTCTATGTTATACGACAATAGTTGGTCATATAAATAAGTAGTGAAAATTAAAATATTTGTGAGGAGAAAGAAGGAATATTTTGGTCTAAAAAGTGGCTGAGCACAAAAAAAAAGGGGTAGCTGAGGATTTTCTTTATTTTTTTTAATAACATAATTTGTTAGGTTATGTCTATGACTGTACTTTTTTTTTTTTTTTATCAGACTTTTGAAGTTAGTTTTTTTTTTTTTTTTTTTTGTTAGGGGTATCCGGGCCTATACCCGACTAGTCCCCTAACCCTGAGGAGAGCGGCTCCACCGATCCTCAGGAAGATACCCCAGGCTGCCCAGCTTCAGAATCGAAACCAGGACCGGCGCCTTAACTAAGAACGCGAAGCCCAGCCGAGCAACCCGTGGGGGGCGACTTTTGAAGTTAGTTAATTAAACCTAATCCCAAATGTACTGTACTTACTGATGTAGCATTTACATCTCTTTTGCCCCTAATATTTTATCCTAATTATTATCTAAAACCATGCGAAAGCCAAAAGCTCTTTCTACGTATATTCTTCTAGTCCTCAGGTACATGAATGTTAAATGTTCTATATAATCTTGCAATCACCAGAGCTAGAAAGTTATTGTAAATGAATTCAAGTAGGAAGTAAAGAAAATGAAGTAAAAACAAAAAAAAAAAAGTAGTTAAATCAGGAACTTGGTAATTAAATATTAATCCCCCAATGAAATTCTGCAAGTTTCACTGGATTAAAACTTAAAAAAGAAGAAGAAGAAGATGTTTTCCCCCCATTTGTGTATAGGACAATTTCCTAACTTCCTCTTTTATACTTTTCCTTCATTTCCTTCATTAAAAGATACGTTTCCCTCCTGAATGGAGAATTGGAGCCAAAGTTAGTCTTACAATTAGTTACTTAGTTAGACCAAATTTCTTTTGAATTCCCTCCTAATCTGCCGGAAAACAGTTTAATTTTGTCCCTCTTTATAAAAGATTATGTCCCTCCTAAATTAATAGAGAGTGTTGCTTATTGGAGCCAAAGGTCATACAAAAAAGCCTCCTAATAGTCATAATCAATTAACCAAATTACTTTTTGATTCCCTCCCAATTTACCCATGTCAATTAGTGTTACTTCCTCCTTTTTTTTTTTTTACAAAGATTAATTCCTTCCTAAATTAATTGAGAATATTACTTATTGGAGCCAAAGTTCATAATGAAAAGTCTCTTTTAAGTGTCAAAATTAAAGAATCCAGTCATGGAAAAGCGCCCACTATTCCTTCATTAAAATATATGTTTAAAATCACCTTCCTTCACAGTATTCAATTGCATTTATGTATACTTTTAGTTGGTTGGTACTCTTATATAATTACATGTTGACAACTTAGGTTTGTGAGTTCTATGGATCAAGTTAGTATTAGTAGCCGAACAAGCTAAAACTCTCGAACTTACCCTTAAAATATACTAAAAATGTCTTCAAAATAAAAATGTTTGTTCGTTCAAACTCAAATGTTTGTTTGTTTACAGCCAGATACGAGTCACTAATCAATTTTGTTCACATACTTTTTGTTCAAAACCACTGGCCCGACAAGTTTGAAACTTTGAACTTTCTCTGCCCCTCCGCCCTTGTAATCCAAGACAGTTTTTTGGAGCCCCATTTAAGTTCGTTTGGAGCCATTGAATCAATGTAGTAGACTGTGTCATTTCTACCTGCCGGTAAGGGTGATAATTTTTGACGCGACCTGAAAATACGATATGAATCTAACACGAAATTAATGGGTTTAGGTTGAGGTTTTGCGGGTTCGGATCAGAATCGGGTCGAATCCGATGAACCCGAAAAGAAAATAGGTCGAATTTAAGTCATCCACGGGTTAACCTGAAAAACTGTTTATGAATTAAAAAGAATTTAATAAATATAAAAATATTTTACCCAACTAAACTAAGTTATTCTTTTTTTCCCAAAGGCATTAATCATTTAATCCTAAATGAATTTGTTTAATTTGTGTGAAGTTGGAATTATTACATTTGGACAAATAATGTATTACATTATTTTCTACTTTTATAGTCTCTTAATTTATTTTAGATTTGGTTTGGAAAAAAAACATTTTTACAGTATTTTAATTTATTTCAAATCTGATTTGGAATTATTTTATCGAGATTTTTATTACTTAATTACGTAATTAGCCTTGTGCAAAATTGGTTCTGTTAGAAACTACAGTAGAGTTGAAATTATGTTTCAAGTAATAGCAGGTCAACCCGGAATTGACACTCCAACCCACTAACTCGAAAATTTTAGGTTCAGGTCAGGTATCTTGATCCGTTGCAGGTTGGTGAGTTGTGTTTGGATCAGTAGGCTCCTATTATACATGAGTCTCAATCCGACTCGTCAACCTGTTTCTGACCCGATTGCCATTCCTATCTGCTAGTCCCATTTGGCCTTTCTCAGTTAAGTTCACGTAAATATAAGTTTAGGTTTTCATCATCTTTATGCTCAAGCAAATGAGATTTTGGTCAAGTGTAAACTTCATGAATTTAGGCACAAAAGTGTCTTGTTCTATAGTAACCGACAAATTTGATATCATTAGACATATCATAGCGTGGATAAGCTGATATTAAATGACTCATTCTCAGTACTTTGTACGTTAAATTTTAATTTTAGATACATTACACTAAGTTTTCAAACTTATCATATTTTATTCAATTGTTGACAGTGTTAAGAAAATTAATGGAACTTTTGTGTATGCAGACGACACACATATTAATCATCTTGTCATCCCTTACTTATCTCACAATTGTTTAAAGTTATGCCAAAAGATATTAGAACCTAAACTTTTGCCCACAAAATCTTGACTGAGGGCCAACTAAGATTCCCCGTCTTTTTCCGTTAACAAGTAAATGAAAGTTGATGTGTACAGTTATAGAGAAAGTAAGAAAACATGAGCTCCTTTAAGCATCATACTTTGTAGCTGAATTGAAATTTCAAATGATCATTTCTAGCTCTTACAGGTTTACGGTTACCTTCTCTAAAATAACATATGAATATGTTAAACTATGTGTGAAAAAAAAGGGTAAATTACTTATAACTCCTATGATTTTATATAATGTCAGATGACCCGTCTAAGGTTTCAAAATAGTTATATAACCTTCCTATGATTTCATGTAAAGTGAAAAATGAATGAAATGTACAATTAGTTACCGCATTTATACCAAACGCGCATATAACAAAATCTTAATTTCCTTGTAACTCTCTTAAGATTTGTATAAATATCCCTTCTATCCCTCTATAATTTCTGCATTTATCCATGTAATCCCCCTTACTTTTATACAAGATAGTTAAGCTGTTAATTGATTTAGTATTTATACAAGGTAGTTAATCTGTTAATTGATTTACTATTTAAGTA